AAAAACTATCAGTAAGCACAATTACTCGTTATGCGGCACAAACCTAGATAGAGTACAGAACATTAGAGATCTCGGTGTTACACTGGACTCTAAACTGACACTGGATTCACATATAGAGAGTATTTGCATGAAAGCATATAAAATGTACGGATTTGTTATGCGTGCTAGTAGTAACTTTAAACGCTTTTCTACATTTATTCATATATATAAATCCCTCATACGTTCACAACTGGAGTACGCCACGTGTATTTGGGATCCATTATATAATGTATATTCTGATAGAATTGAAAGGGTACAAAAAAAATTTTTACGTTGCATACATTATAAATGTTACCATAAAAGATTGTCTTATCAAATATTATTGAAACAATATAAATTACTTCCTCTTAAATTTAGAAGACTGCAGCTGCAAGGTTTGTTGCTGTATGACTTCTGTCACAATAAATATGACTGTATCGAAATAATTAATAATATAAGCTACAAAGTTCCCTTTAGACCGCGTGTACGAACCTGTCGAGCTAGTATACTATTCTCTACACCTAGATCACGTACAAACGCCGGCAAACGTACACCAATATCGCGGCTAGCCGACATACATAATAATTATTTTAACGATACAGACATATTTGCAACCAGTGTTGGCTCGTTTAAAACATTAATTACAAACAAATTGAACGAGATCAGCATTGGGCATCTGACTTAAGTATGAGTACATCACTTTTCTTTTCTATTATATTCTATTATACTATTTGTTTAACTCTCAACTTCTGAAATCTACCCGTGGTTGACGGTGTTGGTTTCACAATTAATTATACTTAAATACAAATTATATACTTAGCTATTAAGATTCATTGTGAAACTGTTTGTTAACCCAAATAAAAAAAAAAAAAAAAAACCCGTGTTGGCTTCATACTCCACAGGCGTACCGCAGATAAGTTTTCACAAGTTTAATGAACTAGCTGTTTTCCTGCAACTTTGCCGCAAAATTATAACCTATGACATCCGTGATGTAGCTTCCCGTAGGTAGAATCGCTCTGAAACTATCGGTCCAGTAGTTTTGGGGCAAATTCGATGCAAACAAACAAACAACCAAATCTTTACTCTTTATAATATAAGTATATCTTAGGTATAAGAGGTCTGATGGCATAGTGGATTAACGCATTCGGTTTAAATTGCAGTGAAATAAACAAGGACATACTTGAATACTTATTTTATATAACTAAGTACAAACAAACTCATCGCTAGCAAGCGATTTCTTCCAGGCAACCTAGCATTACATGGAAAATAGAACAATAAATAGCCGATTGTGCATACAACTAGATAAATAATAATAATTTAAAAATATCAAAACAAAAGAAGGACAGTTTCAAGGTACGAATAAAATTCTCAGACACAAACGACAACCAGAGCGCGAGAAACGAGAAAAAAAATAGAAAAATTACATTCGTAAGGACAGGATGGACGACCATAACATTATTATCTTGAGCACTGTGCACAGCACTGGCACAATGCACGTTAAGCTGTTAGTCCTGGCTGCATCAGCAACGTGAACACCCACCGATCCGCATTAAGCACAGTGGGTTATGGCCCATTGATCTTATTCGGTTCGACTCCATTCATAGGAATAAAACAATTCTATCAAAATACTTCCCACGCAGACGAAGTTGCGGGCACAGCTAGTCTTGAATAAGTAGCTTTTTATTGATATTTATATTTTTGGTAATATGTAATAATAACACTAAAAAAAATTAAATATCTTTATAAATAAAAATATTCATAGTGAAAGGCTTAGAAAAGGAGATTTTGTTTATTTGCTTTTATTTGTTCGATTACAAGGTTCTTCCTTGAGGATATTTTTTTATTTTCAAGTTGCCTCACTTTTAGCATGAATTGAAAGGAAACTTAACAAGAAAAATATTATATTATGGGAAAACAGAACAACATACCGATTACCAATATGAAGATATGTATTTTATTAACGTACATTGGCGGGCATTATCGCTCGGTCATTTAAGAAAATTTTCGTTTTAGCATGTTTAAACGTTAAGCTGAAGCTAAAATGCTGCAATACAAAACGAATGCATCGGCAGTGGAGCCTCTGTCTAGCAAGTCAGATGGAATAGCTACTCAAGAGATTGTGGATGAAAAATCCCGAAGTACGGGAGCAAGTTGTGCTAAGATTACAGATGCTGCTCAGGATAAATCTATTATTGATGTACAACAAATACATGTACTAGATGATGTTGATACTGTTGTCCCGAATATAGCGGATTCAGCTACTTGTCCACTTATTTGAAATAGCAAAATAATAATAAGTAATGGCCCACTGCAAACTCACTGTCACAAAGTTGTAGATAACAATTATGTGACACCCTGTTAGGGTAAAAATGAATCTGTACTTACCTAATGATGTGATCCGTCAAAAATGAATCAGCTACTTATATACTATTTATGTCTACTTTTTAAATAAAACTAATGTCACTATATAGTTGGAACAAGAGCATCGTAACGTAGCGTTAAACGTTTGATAACTGTGTTTGTTTGTTTAAAATAATCGAATAATTGTTTTAAGAGCGTTCACTTATGTCAAGCAAGAAGATAATTGTTGATTGTGTTCTTCTTCGTCAAAAATTAATGTTGACTGTGTTCTTCTTCGTTAAAAATTAAAAGAGATAGATCTAGGGAATCCCCGATTATAGAAAAACACATTGTTTTTGTATGGTGGGAAAGTCGGGGATTCCCGAGAAATTAAACCAATTGAACACTACGTTCCATTCTAATGCTGCCAACTTAACAATCTACCTAAATTTAGGGAAAATACAAGTAAGTAGGCCGAGTCGGCGAAAAAAAGACAAGTAACTGATTTGTAGTATGTAATAGTAACTGATTGTAATTGAATTGCAGTTAGAGGGCGCCAAAGTAATTTCGCCCAGGGCGCTAGTGGTGCTAAAACCGGCACTGTGTATAACAGGGCAGAGCACTCCCAGCTGAAAAGCGAGCAGACTAGCCGAGCGAGATATCAAGTACAGAGGCTGGCTGGAGGAGTGACTGGGTAAGTCACAAAAAAATGTAAAGTATACATACTTGATGAACATAAAAAATCCCCCTTTCGGATTATAAATGAAAGCAAAATACGAAATCTTTTGTTTTTTAGCTGAGATAAACATCTAAATATTTAGGCGCCAAAAATATTTTTTTTTATAAAATTAGAACTACTGATTGGATTTCGATATTATAATAATTCTAAAAATCACGGTATCGTAGACGTCCACGTTCAATTTTTATGCGTTTAATTCGCTGTGTGGAAACGGGATTTAACCGATGTAAAAAAATCTAAGAATTATTCTTCTTTAAATATCTAACAATAAATTCTAAAAATGACTAGACAAATGTTTTGTCAGCTACAATGAGCACTACATCACAAAAATATGTGGACAGTTTTAGAGGGAAGGACGTGGACGTCAACGGAAATTAAAATGCGTCTTCATATGTTTTCATAGAATTTACTTCCCTGTGGACATTCACGGTAAGATTATAATACAGGGAACATAGTTGAATATAGTCACGTTAAAAACTATAAAATTGTTCAATCAAAATGAATGAAACCATTACAACCTTGTTTAGAAAATTATTCTTCGGGTTAGGTCTTTAGATTTCTATCCATGTCAAGGGTTATTCTTAGTAGTCTAGCTACAAATACGCTACACTGCATACCATTATAAGAGACTATTAACATATTCGTTGGGTAATTTATAAATAAGAAGGTTCTTAAAAGTTGAAGCTCTTTACAGAGTTAAGGGGCTTATCAACGACCAATACTACAAGTATTGGTCGTCAACAAGCCCGTATTAAACACGACAGGCGCCCGTGTGCAAGCAGTGCTCTGCCCCCCACTCATTATAGGGAATTTCCCGAAGATCATCGTTGCGCCCCCCCCCCCCAACGTGCGTTGCACTCCATGCACCATGGGTAAACACGGGCTTGCTTGTAAGGGATTATTTACCTTCCTGCTTGGCAGTCTGTTTTGCCTGCAAGCTCCGCCTGTAGTAGAACGGCTAGCCAGGATGATGAGTTTCCAAAAATGTCCAATCTGATTCATGACGTGGTCATAGTAGGATCATGAAGGTTGTTATAGTTTGATATTTTTAAAACTGGATATAAGGACTTATTTTACTAGCATGCTATTCAAGAAATCCATCATAATACTAGACTGCACATTTCAGGAATTGTAGAACTTATTATCAGCCGGTAGGCGGGGCTTACTAACAAGGCAGACTGCCAAATAGGAAGATGAATGGGCCTCTATGAGTATTGCTCAAAGATAGGTTCCTTAACTCTCTCTGTAACTAAAACTTACAACAAAGGGCAGTCAGAATGCAGGTTACCGCAATATGATACGTTTCCGTAATTGATTTTGAGCTCTACCTCTAAGTACAGAAAGTCAGATTTGTAAAAACTGACACACGCTCTGTTGACTACAAAAACGCTCCCAGTATGCGGATAAATGAAACTATACATTATCGTGAAAGTATTAAATATTCCATAACTAAACAGATTTGTAATTTAGGTCGAGACATGATTATCTGATGTTATTCCTAAACAGTGCAAAGAGCCAAATGAGTATTTATTCCACACTCTATGACTTCCCCGACGTGTGCTGTCAACACTTGGCCCAACGCATATACCTCATTTATCAACTCTTACAAAAAATTAGTTAAGTGCAATTAACATTATTACAATAGTGTTCCGTAGCGTAGTCTTATAAGTTTCTTTATTACATAGGTATGTAACACTATTTCCATCTCTAATCAAATGACTGCATAGAATCAGTTATATGACAGCTTTAGGTATACATCCTTCAGCAGCTCTCTCTACCTGGCAGAATAACGGTGCTTCGTATATTGCTCATATTGTTTTTTTGTTTTGATGACTCCCTTATGGTTATAAGAGATAAGGGATAAAAATTATCGATTGGCCGAATTAAACAATTTGAATTGACTATGGAATGCTATTTAGCTGACAAGTACATTTTTTTTGACCAATTTAAATTTCGTATTCCTTCCTTCGTTAATCAACTTCGTATGGCGCGTGGGGGCGATAAAGTTTTTAAGTAGCACATTATTATTATACTGTTTGGAGAAAAGGATGTCTTGTACCACAGTCAATACGTTTATTTCTTTAGAAAAATAAAGCGAATATTCAATTTCGTGTAGCCTCGCATACGTAGATTAGATTTCTAGGGTTAAGACTGTTTTTTTACATAGGTATGTAACACTATTTCCATCTCTAAGCAAATGACTACTTTTTTTTATTCGAGATGGGCTCACTCTTGACCCTAGGCGTAATCAACTTAAATTAATATCACCTTGAATACTAGTGAAATAGCTAACTAGTGATTTTATGAATAGTTAGTACTCTAGTTTTAAAAGCAAGTCGCTATCCTACAAAATTAAAATCCTGTTACTAGGGTACAATGAATTTTCTTATAAGATATCCAAGGGTTCGATCTCTTGAATGTTCTAAAAGCATTGTTTTAGTATTTCTGAACAGAACGTGCAGATTATTATTCACACTAAAAAGTAGGTGGTAAGTTAGGTCACACCATGATGGCGTATGTTAAGTGATGTTCGCAAACCATAAGTCATACGATGGATTAGTGCATAACAATAGTACTTATACATTGGACAAAAGAATAATTTAGAGTATAAATTCACACCCCTGTTTAATAATAGATCAACGTCAGTAGTTGCGTCTATAGAACCCTAAAACTATCTAAAGGTGACTGACTTTATAATCTGATCGAAATATCTGTTTGTATATCGACGATTGACGTATCTATTTCAGTAGACAGTAGATTGGAACTTAATCGAATAAAAGTAGTAAGCACTTTTTTTATAACGAATTGTTATGATTTTATCAGTTCTCACTTATGAGATACAGAATCGAAATTTTATTTGCTTATCCTAAACTCCATAAAAATGTAAAACTCCGATTGTTTCAATAATCTGCAAGTGTTCATTTGTTTTGTTTGTAAGTACCATCTCTAGAGTTTCTAAATTATCTAGTTTGATGGTGTTTTGATTCTTACCAATAATAAATTATTTTTAGTATTTACTAAAATATCAGAAACTCTACCGTCACTAGAAGCACATGAGTCCGACTTTCTTTTACTTTTCATTTCGATGATTTACTGAAAAAAAATACACTCATCAATCAACAGTTGCGTGCCTGCCGGCTGGAAGAGTGAATGGTCTCACCGCTATGCAATGTCTTCTGAACAAGGCCAGTGTCAATGGTTCTTCCGACTGAGCATGATCCAAACAGCATCCTACCCTTTCTGACGCGAGAGCGCAAAATAATTCCCTGGCATGTTTTCTGTTTGCAGTCAGTCTTGTGTGAGATTGCTAAGCAGGCGCATAAACAGTCTTTTGCTCAAATAGGTTACAGATTTTCCTTTCTACAAAGGCTAAAGTCTGCACAATTTTTGACTAAAAGTGATCAGTGTCGTTAGAGTGAATCAAAAAGTTTTTTATTGGATCTCTTTGACATTTTACTGTGGACAAAATTAATTGTGTGTGAACGACCTATAGCAGAGGGGGAGCAAAACAGATCCATAACGCCCCTATCTTCAACAACAGACGTGTCTCCACCCCGATTCCCGTAACGCGGCCCGCACCACGCCGCCAACTAAAAATAACCGGCCACCGATCAGTACCGGCGCAACAATCGCGCGCGTCGCCCGCTGCGCCCGCGCATCGCAACCATGGCGGAGACAATCGAGGAGACTTACGAGAGCGCGGTCACCCGCAAGGTGGTCCGCACGAACCTCAAGATAGAGGAGGTGAGGATCACACGACAGTTTACGTAATGCCGCCCGCCCGCCCGCGCGACACTAATATAGCCGGCGCGGGCGCGGGCGCGGACGCTGCACCTGCTCACATAACAGATAACACGTTTGACAGTGAACACCGGAGTAAACATCCCTAACACCACACCGGACGCGGAAAACCAGACTCGTTAAAAAAGTCGCAGTTTCAAAACGAGTTTAGTTTGTTTTCTGTTTCACTTTTGTTCTATGGCCGGTGACAGATGCCGTGTTTCCGGATGTTCAAAAGTATTCCGGGAATATGAGTGGCCCGACGCGGGTTTTGGAGTGTTTCGGCTGTATGTTATGGCACGTGAAGGTCCGTTTCACATACGTCAGTGGTGGAAGTGTGCGCTCGATACGCCACTTGAATGATTTGTGCTGACGCACCTAAATAGACCAGGGGAACTGAATGAAAATTACTGTGCCCACCTTGACGGCTGTGCATCGACCTTTGCGCTATGGACACACGTGCGACCTTGCACAACTAAACAAACGCAACGTATTCTACGGACACTATCACATTCAAACACAAATGCAACCAAATCTTTTAAACGTATTATTAAAGTTTCTGACAATATTGCAGTCTTTAAAGATGTCAGATGAGAAATTAAGTTGAATATTTATGGCTTTTGCGAATTATCGCATCTCGTTACAGTAGTTGATCCAATCGTAATGCAAGTACCAGAGCGTGACGCCATAATATGCCATATACAGATGGACCGTCGAGAACAGAAGTCAGTAGTGTGTATTTAGTCGACTAATCACATTCCATCTGTGAATTAACAGTGATTGTCCAACGCGACTACTGTCCGTTTCCAAAGCGCAAAATCCAATGGAAAAACGCGCCGTAGCATATTTTCGTCTTGGCTCACATCCTAGTTTATCTGCTACATTACGATGTTTATTCACAATACGAATGTAAGCATTTATGTGTGTCCGCGCCACTAGCGTCTAGGTCTTTACAGTTGTTTCTGGTTGATACGGACAATAAACATCTTCAGAAATGATGGTACAAGTACTTTGTACAATATGCAAGCAATGATCATTAAAACGCATAAAGGTAATCTGGAAAATCTAGTTTGACATTTTCACAACAGATGTCGCTAGCGTCGCTGCGTATCGTAGACGTTTGCTATGTTATGAGAATTAATTTTTCATGTGAATAATTAGGTACTGTGAAGTAACGGTGAATATTCGAGAACGTTTCAACTATTTAAACTTCCCAAAGAGTGTTAAACTAAAATAATGATAATCATTGACCGTAAGAACATTAGTTGCGTATGCTGCTAGTCAGTAATTTGTATTAGAAACAAGCATAAACAGTACAGTTACAGTGCTACTTATAAACAAGCTTTAGTGTCAGATTAAATTTACGCTAAAATTGCAATTTTAGTATTAGTCTATATTCATATTACACAGAGAATAAGCAAATCTACTACCTTCTAGGAGCAAATATTACTCCCGTAGAACCTCGTACAAGGTTAACCTTTGTTAAGTCTTTGTTTAATAATTACGAATTTTGACTAATACGAAGCGTAAATTTATTTCAACGCTAAACCTTGTTTACAAGTAGCACTGCTTGAGTTTAACCTTTTTTATTACCGACTACTTTTTTCATGTCAAAACTTTTTATGATATTTCTTTAATATTCGAAATTTGAAACGGTGTCTATAGAAAACTTTTATTACACTCCGGCTAGATAACACCAAATAGTTTAGGCCTTAACTAAAATCAGAAGACGACGCCCGCCATCAAATAGTTTGTTATCTAGCCGGAGTGAATTGTGTGTTTATTTATTAATATATTTATCTTCACATGCCAAAGTCGTGAACGGAAGGCATACCAACGGGACAAACTTTTGGCAATCGTTCTTATTTTTCACTAATATTAAAGGTCGGGTTAGATTATAATATAGATAGTAAATTCATTATAATTATGTATGTGGAATTATCAAATTACAGAAGGTTTATAGCATAAACTATCCATGTTTTTGTTTTCTATGCTTATCTATAATTTTCAACCGACTTCCAAAAACTTGATGATTTTTTATTAATCAATAAATAAATTATGTACCTGTGCAATAAAATGGAGTCATTCATTTAAAAGGCTAGCCATCTTATTTAAGGGATATTAAACTTTATTTTAAATTTTATTATACGAAAATTGAACTTAACCAAAAACCAACTCGAGCTGCTTAAAAAAATATTTAATTCTTATCTAACTTTTATTTCTTCTATATAAATTTCTTTGAAAGCTTTAGACCATTTTTTTCTTTTTAATCCTTCTTTTGAATCCATATACATTTCCGCATTGTAAATTATTTGTAAACAACTTTAAAAATATAAACCTTTTTTTAGTGCGTGAGTATAGTATTATAAAAATATATAACTATTTTATTATAAAAATAACCTCGAATTCGTCGTCGTACGCATCGCTATCATAGCACAGAGGTTTAATCGGATAAAACCTACTACAAACGGCAATAAAGGTTTTATTTTATTAAACTTTAGGTCATAACAGCGCTGTTCTCAACGATGGGATCTATCCTGTTTTTAATAGAATAGCATACATATTCCACGCATCAATTTTGTGATGCGATTTGATTTAGCCACATTGCATTAATTAACAACACTGTACTTATTGTAACAGAGCAAACTTCTGAGAACCGACCACACAAGTCGCAAGCAGTATTTGTGTACGGGACTAAAGTTCTGACGATAATATCGATATTGAGTCAGAAAAGCCGGTGACAACAGATATTTTTTTTTTTTGAGAATTGGTCATTTAAGTTGCCTATTTGGCAGGACAGAAATATATTCATTTATGACGTCAATATAAATTTGTACAAGATAGCGAACCATAAGCGTAGCGTAGCGTAGCAAATATAAAGTCCTTACAACTTCATCCTTTTAGATCACTTTACGAGAAAATAATTAAAAATTTACAACTCTACACCGTTTAGAATGCATTTTCGCGTCCAGTGCCGTCCAGAAGAGACTGAGTTAAGAGAGCACCTAAACCAAACCAAAGATATTCCACTTTCATTTCATTTTGAACAAAGAAATAAAGTACAAATAATTTGAAACGAGAAAACAGTACATGTCCAAGGACAGACATACAGCCGGAATTCTCTTTATTTTAATTCGGTATAACAAGTCTCGGTTAAAAGACGCTAGCTTAGAGTTCAAATTTGTCAAAGAGTATGGGCGACGATTTTCTAATCACTATTGCACTTTTACTATATCTTGCTCATAAGATGAAAATATAGTGCTGATACTGGTTGAATTGTCTTCATGCGGAATTTAGAATCAGAGAAACGGAAAACTGTTGTGTAGGTATGGGATAAGTCAACAAATTGATTCACTGCATTCGTGAAACGATGTTTTAACTGTAACTCCTAAAGGTTAAAACCTGAATTTATAAAATTATCTCAACAGAAAACTATATCTAACGTTCATTCATTCTTTACCATTTCTTTATCACAACAACTATGTAATGCAACTATTCTGGCAACGCCTATTAACGCATGAATGAGCTTATTTTCAGTGTTATGCAACATAATCGTTTCCAGTTGCGTGTACATTTTAAATATAATCCACAAGTGAAACTTCCAGCGAGCTCTTGCGTTAAGATATTACATACCTACAGATCAATATTCAACGAATGGTGAACGAGAATCACTGTTATGCTGAGAACGCGACAGATGATTGAGATAGCGTAACCATTGATGTTTTTGTATGAAACTATTTAACAGAGAAAGATCTAAGCTAGTGATATAACCTTGACTGATCATCATAAAGAACTTCAATTTTCAAACATACGTCAATGTTGTTTGAGAATAAAAGGTATACTTTATTTAATAGCAGCGTTTGACGTCATATTTAGAGGAATAAACTTCCAACCAATGTTATTATCTAGTTCAGCTAGCATTTGCTATCTTATTGCTCATCATCTTTAGCTTATTAATGTCTTCTACGGGAGGCCTTTCCTGTGAATAGAATCGAATTGAATAGTGAAAATGGGCCATGATCACAGATATCAGAAATTAATCTCCACGTCTTGACCACATAAGCCTAGTGTGGATTAGCGTGTAACTACAAATACAGTCGGGAGTAACGCGAGTCCTAACGTGCCTTCATCCTTATTAGCTCGAGATAATACATTTTTTCGATCACCCATCATTTTGTCTATCCTACGAGGGTCAAACTGAAAGTTCTTAGAACTGGCCACTTATAAACAATATAATAAAAAAATAATTCTAAAATTTGAAAATATAACTCTTTGCCAATATTACTGAGTATATATTTCATTCATTTGTCATTTGTTTTACGATTTGGCGGCAAATTGAAAATTGTCTGTGTCACGTCATCATGAATTTAACACGAGAAAATTTTCGTGCAATGATTTTTTATGACTTTCGATGTCATTTAAGTCAACAAGAAAGTTATGATAGACTACGATTGGCCTTTCACGATGAAGCCCCATCTCGTGCGAATGTTTACAACTGGTTTAATGAGTTTAAACGTGGTCGCACTAATCTCACTGATGATTTACGTGAGGGACGGCCTTCTACGGCGACGACTGAAGATAACATCTGTGTTGTGCGGCGTATGATAGAGACTGACAAAAGAGTGACCTATCAACAGATTCGGACAAGCTTAGGCATCGGTATGAGTCAAGTGCACAAAATCCTCCACGAACATTTAGCGGTCAGGAAGCTTTGCGCCCGGTGGATACCTCATAATTTGACTGAGGCTCAAAAACTCCATCGTGTGGATTGGTGTCGTAAAATGATTGAAAGATTTAACGGAGGTGACTCAAATGCTGTGTTCGACATACTAACAGGTGACGAAAGCTGGATTTACTGTTATGATCCTAAAACCAAAAGACAATCTGCTCAGTGGGTGTTTCCTTTCGAGGAGTTGCCAACTAAAGTGAAGAGAGATCGAAGTGCGGGAAAAAAAATGGTGGCCTCGTTCTTTGGAAGGATAGGTCATTTTGCAACAATTGTGTTAGAGGATCAAAAAACAGTTTCTGCAGAATGGTACACTACCAATTGTTTGCCACTTGTCTTGGAAAAAGTTCGAGAGAAACGACCTCGCAGTAGGATCCTCCTTCA